GTGAGCCACCAGCGCCCACCTTCCTTATTTTATTTTGTTAAGCTGTATTTTTAAGGAGTAAGAATATTCTTTGTAATTATTAGGTAATGTCCAAGGTATATTTGCTTAACTTTTGCTGTTTATTGTCTATATCCAACTAGCTATATCCAAGAAATTGTTTTAAAAGTATTTAAAATAATTGTAGGCTTCACTGATCTATAGATTGTTTCAGGAACATGTATTTCAGAATTATTTTATAGATAGGTAAAAGTTAATTGTGACTTTTACTTGTAGTTTTTCAAGCCCTACCTTCTGAAAGTATTTGCTTTAGATAACAGCCCTCCTTTATATACACAAGTTGACAGTGTCCTTAAGTCTTACTAGTGTCCTTACATAAACTAAAATCAATGTCATTAAACTTAAATTTCTGGTATAGAATTGTAAAGTTTATACAGCAACATCTTTGATGGAATTCTCAAGGAAAGTGGGCCAAGTCTTCTCTCCTGGAAATAATTGTTCTTTCTCTTTGACTTAGATGTCAGGTAGCTTGGACTCTAGGGGAAAAACTGTGACAAATAAACTTCCTCCTTATTTATGCTTAGTTTTCTGCCCCCTTTTGTTGTTTTAACATTCAGAAAGACATGTTGTAGAAATGGGAATTTCAAAATTTAATTTTCTTAATTATTTCACCTTAACTTTTTCAGGTGGTAAAGTTGAAAGGACAGGTGCTATCTGTCATGTTCCGGTTTCGTTCTAAGAATAGAGAATGGCTCTGGATGAGAACTAGCTCCTTTACTTTCCAGAATCCTTACTCAGATGAGATTGAGTATATCATCTGTACAAATACCAATGTAAAGTATGTATCTTTCCATCTTTTTCCATTGTTGGGATCTCTTTTTCTCAGTCTTGTGATAAGATTTGATAGTTGATCAACTGTTCTAATAGTTCAGAAACTTGCTCTTGAGATGGAAGGGATTTAATTTCAATTTTATGTGTTAAACCTCTCTAGAAAGGGTTTTGTTGTATATACTTTTTCTTGTTCTGGTCTGGTAGGATTTTCAGCTAGACCACAAAGCCTGTGGGCCCTATGGTCTTTATTGTAACAACTCAGCTCTGCTGTTGTAGCATGAAACTAGTCATAGAAAAAAAAAAAAAAAACATGGGCTGGGAAGGTGGCTCAGTGGTAGAGCGCTTGCCTTGCATGCATGAGGCCCTGGGTTCGATTCCTCA